ACAGAGTGGGCTGTCTTTATTGTACAAGTAGCAGGTATTGAAACTCAATTTGTAGTATTATAAGGACATAAACTTACCACTAAGCCCCTGGAGGGCCCCACATGAAATAAACATTTCACTCCACTGAGACCTGTGGAAATAGGCTAGACAGGAAATAAAAATATTGGACAAATGGCGAAAGACAAAAAGCCTGTAAGAACCTACTTAAAAACCATAGTGAACAATCATCTGTCATCATAGCATCAGATGTCTCCTACGCCTAAGATAGTGAGTAAGCTGGTTGAGCATTCAAGCAGTGTAAGGAAGGAACTGGAAGCCACAAAGCAAGTTATCTTCTGGATTGCTGAGAACAATGAACCCCAAATAGATAGTGCCACCAACATTATATTTGTGGCTGACCCATAGGTTCTACTGGATAAAATTCCCAATGATTGGTCTCTTGAAGGATGGAAGAAAGCAAAGCAATTACATGATAAAACCATCACCTAGATGTATGTGCTAGGTCATGTAGGAATAAAACTAAACAAGGAAGCTGACAGACTTGCCTAAGTAGCACCTTTATCAAATTCAGCACAACTCTGGCAAGATATCAATGTTCACTAGAAAAGTGGCAATCATCATGGTATTGACATTCAGAGGGAATGAAGCTGCTGGAAAATGAAATATTGTATGGTTTAGCTACGTACAACAAAATATGTTGAATCGATAAAAGCTGCCAGAGGGGAAAAACCTGCAGCTGTAGTTGCAGTGGCTCTGCCAGAAATGCAGCACTAGAGTATGCCAACCATATATTATGAAAATCTGCATCTGCAGCTACCATACTGTAGCTGCATTTCAGTTTAAGTAGTTAAAAGCTGCATTGACAGTGGTATCAAAATCCTATCATACCAACTGTGACAATAACGTGGATGAAGAACATCTCAATACAATGAGAAACAGAAGAAATGTCTGTGTAGAATTTAATCATTTCTTGAAGAGATTCCTTTCCCTATCACTACACTGAGATCCAAACATCTTCCAAATACATCAAAGACTGTAAATATTGTCTTGTCTGCTAATTTAAACTAGTGAGCCTCAGATAAGGTTTGACCACTGATCTAGGAGAGACTGTAAATACTGTCTTATCTGCTAGTTTAAACTACAGAGCCTTGGATAAGGTTTGGCCACTGATCTAGAAAAAAATGGCCATTTGTGTTTCTTCAGGTGTGATCATTGGTACGATGTCTACAGGACCAAGCATGGCCTAGTATATGTTTAAGAAATTGCATAGATAATGCTTTTAACATTCTATCTACTACCCCAGTGCATTTCATAATAAACTACAAACACAAGCTACTACCAGCTTGCATGAAACAAAAAATCTTGATTTAACAGTTTTACCTCCAAGAACAGACAAACTATCTACGTCGACATTATTATAGTATTTATTATGTTTCAAGCTGCAGTTGAAACTTAGGAATCATTTCACCCAGAATCATTTCTCGTTCTTCTTGTTTCTTTTCTTTTTCCTCCAACCACTGCTGTAGTCTCTTTCTTGTTTCTTTTATTTTCCTCCAACCACTGCTGTAGTATCGTTTCTAGTTTATTTTCTCGTTCTTCTTGTTTCTTTTGCTGTTCTTGTATTATTGCCATCAAATCTGCTAGGTCGTAATTTGATTTGCCCGTTTCCATTTTTTTATCCCACTTCTGACACCAATTTGTTACGTCTGTGGTCGTTAGTTAATTTCCCGTATAATTTCTTCCCAATGAAACTTCAGTGACACAAGTCCTTTCTTAAATAAAACTAGTTTATTCTTTTTCAATTCAACTTTGCAATACACTTAATTTCCACAGCCATTTTAACTTAACTAATTTTATAAAAACACGTTATAATTCGCAGGGAACGATTCACGTACTTACTTACTACCATACTTAACTCAATTTTCCATCTCTGTCTGTCTGCAATTCTATTCCGATTAATTCGTCTCACGTTATCCCGCGCACTTATATACAGGAATAGAGGGTGCCTAGCACATACTGGATTATTCGTGATGTTCTCCGATCCTTCTAGAATACCATGACGTGTTACCAGAGTCACGTGACTACCGCTGTCGTAACAATTCAATTGTCCATCTCTATCTCTGCCTGTCTGCAATTCCAATTTCGATTAATTGTCTCGCTTTATCTGGTGCACTTATATACAGGAATAGAGGGCGTCTAGAGAACACTCGAGGCGTCACGAACGGACATGATCTTTCTAGAATATCATGACGTGTTACTAGCGTCATGATATTCTAGAAGGATCATGTCTGCTAGTGGCAACTCTAGTCATTTCTACGCGCCCTCTATTCTTGTAGATGCCTTGGACAGTCCACAACTTAAGATACAAGTGAAGCAAGCACACCCCTCTACCATGCAGGATGCAATGGCCAGAGCTCTTGACTTTGAATCCTACGTTAAGTCCAGCACAGAAGTACCAAGGTTGGTACAATCATCTGGATTCAAGGCCAGAAAAGGTCAGCTTTCAGAGAAGTTTGAGGGACTTTGCTGGCATTGTAACAAACCTGGGCACAAGAGAGCCCAATGATGGAAACTTCAGCACAGGGGAGATGATACAGCAGGAAAGGCTGCTACCCAGAAAAGCTGTTGGAACTGTGGGGAGCAAGGACATCTGAGGAGCCAGTGTAATAAAAATACCACCAATAAGT